ATATATGTATATATATATATATATATATATACATATATATATATAAAAGATATATATATATATAAAATATTTCCATTTTTATTTTCCTGTATAATCTCTATCCCTAATAATAAGAATAATTTAAAAATGATTAAAAGAGCAATATTTGCATTATATTTTTCAGAGAAAATAAAATTTGAAGAAATAAAAAAAAAACATCATATGTAATTAAGGATATATAATAAAGGAAATAGAATATATAATAAAGGAAAAAAAAAAAATTGCCCATACATATGTTCTAATAAATACACGTATGTCAAAATTTCGCGGCAAATTTCAACCAATGGGAAGACGCGAACTCGCGCGACGCCATCTAAGATGACATCCTCTTCCGGTGTCTTCGGGAGTTGCTGGTCTCCGATGCCGCGCAATAGCGATGTTTATTTACGTACGCCATCGTCGTGCGATTAATTGATCGCGAGTTCGCGCGTCTGTGAAACTCGGATTCGACGCCGTTCGCGCCAAGTAGCGAACGCGAATTGTCAAAGCGACAAGAAGGAGGAGGCGAGAAATCGTGACAAGGGCGCGTAATAATCGCTCCGCTACGCCATCGTCATCGTGCATCGGTTCCATCCTATGTCGTCATCGTCGTTCCTGCTGTCTACATTCTAACCTATATCTGAGATCCGTCGTCGCAGTTTGTTGTGTTTGTTCCGGACCTTTTTCCGAAATACGCGCCTCAAATCCGTGATGCTACGCTCTCGCTGAAAATAGCTCGCAGCCAAGTGACCGAGTATGGGCGACGAGGACGACGTGCTGCCGGCGCGTCTGCAGAGGCTCGAGATTGATCGTCGCTCGACGAGTTGCCCGCAGTAAGCGTCTCGTTTCGTGTCAATGAAAAGAAATAACGTTGAAAAACGACGAGAATTTTCCATTAAGATCCTGGCCTCTCCTCTACGTTTACATTCGTGATCGTCGAAACATGACGTTTTTCAAGCGATGTTGCGTTTAAAATCTTTTTGTATCACTAGCATGTAAAGTTTGGCTTCTTTGTCAATCAACGTTTCTCCTCTATTGACCAATCGAGCTATCGAAATGCCTTGCAACTGTGTACTCTTCGCAATCGCGGTCAAGGTCTGGCAATAACGTCATGATATATTTGCAATCGTACACTCAGACGTGTTTTGTTCGCCGAAAATCATTGTTTGCGTATCGGATTCTCAGATTTGTGCACAATGTTATTGGTCGAGTAAAATGCGGCTCGATTTTATAGAGAAAAATATTTTAGACGCTCTATTTTTAGATTTGTAGACATCGAGATCCGCGATGCTGGAAATAACTAAATAGCGTCGATAATAGTCTTAGGAAAGAAAAATCAAGTGAGTGAAAGAGAATATAATATTACTGAATTATGAAGTATGGATTATTTGAAAGACTTTTAAAAATATAATAATGTTTATATAAATGATATTTAACAATTAAATATATATATATATAGGAATTTGTATATTTTCAATATTTTTCAATGAAACAAAGGGCTAAATATTTCTTGTAATATTGTAAAATACTTTACCACACTTTTTTATTTTTCATCGCTGTATATCTTGTTATCTCGTATATTAGAAATGTATTTAAAAAAAGTTATTTCCAGAAAAAAGATCATAAGACATTTTAGCAGATTATTATCTGCTCTTTCATGATATATCTTTTTGCAAAGTAATTTCTCATTCTTTCAGCATTGCAGCGACAGACAAATCAAAGGTGATAAATCTATTCAAGATATTTGGCGAGACTTCTGATAGCAGTTACTTATTTCGAAGGAGATCAATGCCCAACAGGCCTACTATGTTCTCAGTCAATCCAAAGGGCAGAGCGGTTGAGAAAAGCAAGAGGAGCATTGTCCTTAAGGAGGCTATTCTAAAGTTAAGCGATCCTCACGATATTTCGGTAGATACGCTGTTCAAGGACACATGTAAACTCAGTATTCCCACTAAAAATTCCAAAATAATCGATAAATCAGTCATGAAGGACTTCAAGGCGCTGAAAATCAGTAAAGATTGTAGACTGGCCAAGGACGACACTAATATTCAGGATGACGAGTGCGAGCCCGGCAGTTTTCAGCGTGCTCGCAGTAACACGATGCCGAATCTAAAGAGGGGTCCTGGTCCAGGCGGTGGAGAACAACGAACGGCAACCGGACAGTCGGATGCGAGTAGCTCGTCTACCCAACAATTGTCGAGTTCGCCGAATACTTGTTCGGTGCAGGCACGTATATCACCGCCCTCGTCGAGCGACGTCACGATCGGTGAACTAGCCGGTTACTTCGAAGAATTCGTCCATATTCCAAAGAAGATGTCGCATATGGCGGAGATGATGTACACTTAACTGTAAAGTATCTTGAATTATGCATGTATCACAGATATAAACTTTCTTTCCATGCACAGTTTTCTCAGGCTGTGTATATTTCATTCTCTATATCATATCTCTCTGTTTGTTTATGTCTAATTTAATTCACTAAATTATTTTTTTAATATACTTATAACATTGGCAAAAGAAGAAGAGAGGAGAAGGATATTTTTACTTTTGTTTCAATTTGTGTATAGTATCTCGAAATTATTAATATATATCATGTACATTTTACAATATAGCGAGATATCGATATACTTTTTTTCGTATTTCTTTATCTTTCTTTCATTATTTGCGCACTATTTTTTTCTTTAGTATATAAAAGGGAATATGGAATATTATATTATCTGTATTTTAAAAAAAAACTTTTGTATTATGAGAGAGAAGAGTAATTGGTTTTAGAATAAATTACATAAACTGAAAATTGCTATCGTAGTATTTATCGAGCACCCACACAAGCAATAGATGTTTTTATATGTATATTTCTGTATCTTTGCATATACTTCGTCTCGCATTAGCTATTTGATTGACAAATAAAATTTTTATCCTACGCAAATAAAAATAAAACGTAAAACTTTCTATAAAACACACGTTAATAAAGGTGCGATATTAATATGATACATAATATATTTATCTGCATAGGCTTACGACAATTAATAATAATATAATAATAATATAAAGTAATTAAGTTACTTAATAAGCTTTGGTATATAAACAATGACAACAGTGTATTGATCGTTTTCGCTTTAGATACAATACGAATGAAAATGCACGTCGACGCGCGATGGTACACGATGTGAAAAAAATGCGAACGAAAGAGAGCCGGGCGTACAAGAAAATATTGTTCGCTATTTGATGTGCGCATCACGTGACACAGTTCCGTTCTATAAACGATTATATCGTGGATGATGGCAATCCTTTTTAGTGATGTAATGCTTTCGTGGCTACCGCGAGACAATAATGTCGATCTTTATATTAAAGTGAGTGAGAGAGAGAGAAAGATTTGTCCTTATATCACAGATTTACCGAAAATTTTATTTGAGCGGAGCCACGACGATAGAGTCTTTCTCTCCGAGGAATCGCGCGAAATCCACGATTAATTAAGAACGTAATTTTCATTAAGTACAATATGCGTAAATCGCCGATCTCGCTTTGTTAGGTCGCCGTATAATTTAATAAAAGTCATTTGCAAATAAAAGCATATGTGGGAACGATACGTCCGAAGTGTTTCCCGGATAAGTTCTAAAACGTATGATTTATGTCATTATCAATATTGCACAAGAGAGAATTATATAAATAATTAATTATACCAAAAATTTTAAAATACTGCTTATTTAAAAAATGTATGCCTTTTTTTTTTATCGCGTATTAATAAATATAACATTTGTTACAATGTTCAATCGATCGAAACATTATTATGTACAATTGTGCGAACGATAAAGTTATTGTATTGAATAATTTGAAAAAAAGAAAGAGCTCGCACACACACAGTAAAAGAGATGTCGCGAACAGTCGGACGTACAGTTCCCGATATCCCTGTTCGAGAGCAACGCGCGTGGGCTTAATTTAAACAATATCAGTCTCTAGATCCAGTGGAAAAAGGCCACGACGCCTTTACCATAATAATTTGTAAATACATGGTCCAAATGTGATCCGAATGAAAACAGTCTACGCGAATATATAACGCGAACGCTTCGGGTCGTTTGACAACTCGTCACTTTCTTCAAATAACAGAAAAGTCTGAGAAACATCTGAAATACGTCTAAAAATGCGTTCTTATTTTTCAAATGTCTTTCAGAGATGTCTAAAAAGACGTTTGAATTTTTCAGAAATCTCCACCCTCCCCTTTCATCTTTTAAACGCCATAAAAAAATTTCTAACAGATGCTTAAATTTTTAATCATATCATATATACACTTATAAGAATTTTTATCTTGCAAATATCTTTAGGCGCCTTTACGATGTTTGTAAGACGTTTCTGTTGTCTAGATTGTTCTAGTTGATCTAACACGTCAGTGTTCAAACCCTATGCATTTCTAATCTACGACCTATAGCAGCGATCATCATCATTATTATTATCAGCGAAATTTCCAAGTGATCGTTCATCATGAGAAAACAAGTTTATCGGTATAAAACGCTCATAGAAAAAATGTACTGGACGTAATACACCTACTCTCTAACGCTACGTAAACGCGAAAGCCTTTTCACGTGCACTCTTCCATACGACATCATTATAATTTCATTGAAAACGCGTTGCGCACCGTACTGTGTAAATATCGCCATCAGGATTCCATTTATGGATGCCGGGATCTTTACAAAGTAAGAGAGAGAAGACCGAAAGTAAAGACCGCTCTATTAAATATATTAAATTATATATTAAACGCTATTTCATCTCAAACACATTCTCTTATTTTATTTTATAATATCTAGTAAATCATTCTCTTTTTCTGTTAAAGTTTCTTTTAACAAAAAATAAAGACGTAAGATTCGTATTGCAACGATGTTTTAATTTGTAGCGCAATAATCGACGGATGTATGAGTTTGTCGTGCATCGCGTTATTGCTCACGATATTCTCTTATTTAGACTCAGTAAGAGGCACGTGAAAAGAGGACCGCGCTGACACGTGGATGTAACAATTTCCTACGCTCGCATGCGCGCAACACACTCGCATTTTGCTTCCGCTTTAATCACTAGTATCTATCGTATCGTAATCTATGGCTCATCGTGTTTATCGTGACATAGTAAAATGTATACATTCGGTATCGATCGCACCTCGGTTAACCAACTCTGGCTCTAATCATTTTCTCTTTAAATCGATTTTAACTATGATATAAGAATAGAGAATGGAGGAAAAAAAGTTTGATTACCATCTCTTATATTGAGCCAAAAAACTTGACACAAAAATATTTTAGAGGAAAACAAAATCTCAAAATTATATGTTCTCTTTACATAGACAAGTCTTGAATCATCTTATTTAATTCAGCAACTAAATGTTTCTCTTCATATCGTAAGTTGAGACATGATTTAAATAGAGAAAAAAAGATAAACAGTCACTATTACCAACACTAACAATGATGTAGATCCATCCAGATGATTGCATCAATAATGTGAATTGAGTGATTTTAGTTAGCAATCCGCCATCCCTTTTTATATTACAGATTACAAACTTGATCTTATAGATCGAGAAGTAATAATGGCAGTACTTATAATATTAAAGTATTATCCATCCACTTATAGTAATTCTTCGACGCGACGATTTTTAGTATATATCCAATACAAATATAATAAAACCGCCTTTAATATCTTTCTGTGATGCTATTAATAATCTATTTTACGTATTTTGTATTTCTCAACTTCGTTTTTTATAAAACTTTAATCGCACTGATATCGAGGTAATTACACAAAATGGCATTAAAATCAGAGTTGGTTTGAACCGATTTTGGAACAATCGATCCCATCTCATGTGACATGCCTCGCGGAGACGACATTGAATTCTGGGAAATCGAATGCGGTTCGGGAGGATATTTTTTTCCACCCAACCATAAAGAGAGCAAAATCGCCGATCCCGGCGAGACTGACACGCCTATCACCTAAGAATTCCTATTCTAAATCCGTCGTTTGTGTATGTATCTCTTTTTCTTTTTAGTAGAAAATTTACAATTCTTCAAACACTTTGTACGAATAACATCGATGACTTAAGTTTATCCGAGATTGCATTTCCGATTTCACTCCGTTCCCTTGGGCTGCGTAAAGCCCATCGCATCGATTTACATCGCGACGCAGAGCTCGGAGATATTTTTTCTCAAACGCATATACGCATTCGCATTTATCCGGATATTAGTAACTTTCTCGCCTCTTTCGTGTACTCTAATTTCTATAACCTTCTTGTTTTCTCTCTCTTCAACAAGACCAACGGTACTTTGCAAAAGAGCGCGTATATCACCGCCCTCGTCGAGCGACGTCACGATCGGTGAACTAGCCGGTTACTTCGAAGAATTCGTCCATATTCCAAAGAAGATGTCGCATATGGCGGAGATGATGTACACTTAACTGTAAAGTATCTTGAATTATGCATGTATCACAGATATAAACTTTCTTTCCATGCACAGTTTTCTCAGGCTGTGTATATTTCATTCTCTATATCATATCTCTCTGTTTGTTTATGTCTAATTTAATTCACTAAATTATTTTTTTAATATACTTATAACATTGGCAAAAGAAGAAGAGAGGAGAAGGATATTTTTACTTTTGTTTCAATTTGTGTATAGTATCTCGAAATTATTAATATATATCATGTACATTTTACAATATAGCGAGATATCGATATACTTTTTTTCGTATTTCTTTATCTTTCTTTCATTATTTGCGCACTATTTTTTTCTTTAGTATATAAAAGGGAATATGGAATATTATATTATCTGTATTTTAAAAAAAAACTTTTGTATTATGAGAGAGAAGAGTAATTGGTTTTAGAATAAATTACATAAACTGAAAATTGCTATCGTAGTATTTATCGAGCACCCACACAAGCAATAGATGTTTTTATATGTATATTTCTGTATCTTTGCATATACTTCGTCTCGCATTAGCTATTTGATTGACAAATAAAATTTTTATCCTACGCAAATAAAAATAAAACGTAAAACTTTCTATAAAACACACGTTAATAAAGGTGCGATATTAATATGATACATAATATATTTATCTGCATAGGCTTACGACAATTAATAATAATATAATAATAATATAAAGTAATTAAGTTACTTAATAAGCTTTGGTATATAAACAATGACAACAGTGTATTGATCGTTTTCGCTTTAGATACAATACGAATGAAAATGCACGTCGACGCGCGATGGTACACGATGTGAAAAAAATGCGAACGAAAGAGAGCCGGGCGTACAAGAAAATATTGTTCGCTATTTGATGTGCGCATCACGTGACACAGTTCCGTTCTATAAACGATTATATCGTGGATGATGGCAATCCTTTTTAGTGATGTAATGCTTTCGTGGCTACCGCGAGACAATAATGTCGATCTTTATATTAAAGTGAGTGAGAGAGAGAGAAAGATTTGTCCTTATATCACAGATTTACCGAAAATTTTATTTGAGCGGAGCCACGACGATAGAGTCTTTCTCTCCGAGGAATCGCGCGAAATCCACGATTAATTAAGAACGTAATTTTCATTAAGTACAATATGCGTAAATCGCCGATCTCGCTTTGTTAGGTCGCCGTATAATTTAATAAAAGTCATTTGCAAATAAAAGCATATGTGGGAACGATACGTCCGAAGTGTTTCCCGGATAAGTTCTAAAACGTATGATTTATGTCATTATCAATATTGCACAAGAGAGAATTATATAAATAATTAATTATACCAAAAATTTTAAAATACTGCTTATTTAAAAAATGTATGCCTTTTTTTTTTATCGCGTATTAATAAATATAACATTTGTTACAATGTTCAATCGATCGAAACATTATTATGTACAATTGTGCGAACGATAAAGTTATTGTATTGAATAATTTGAAAAAAAGAAAGAGCTCGCACACACACAGTAAAAGAGATGTCGCGAACAGTCGGACGTACAGTTCCCGATATCCCTGTTCGAGAGCAACGCGCGTGGGCTTAATTTAAACAATATCAGTCTCTAGATCCAGTGGAAAAAGGCCACGACGCCTTTACCATAATAATTTGTAAATACATGGTCCAAATGTGATCCGAATGAAAACAGTCTACGCGAATATATAACGCGAACGCTTCGGGTCGTTTGACAACTCGTCACTTTCTTCAAATAACAGAAAAGTCTGAGAAACATCTGAAATACGTCTAAAAATGCGTTCTTATTTTTCAAATGTCTTTCAGAGATGTCTAAAAAGACGTTTGAATTTTTCAGAAATCTCCACCCTCCCCTTTCATCTTTTAAACGCCATAAAAAAATTTCTAACAGATGCTTAAATTTTTAATCATATCATATATACACTTATAAGAATTTTTATCTTGCAAATATCTTTAGGCGCCTTTACGATGTTTGTAAGACGTTTCTGTTGTCTAGATTGTTCTAGTTGATCTAACACGTCAGTGTTCAAACCCTATGCATTTCTAATCTACGACCTATAGCAGCGATCATCATCATTATTATTATCAGCGAAATTTCCAAGTGATCGTTCATCATGAGAAAACAAGTTTATCGGTATAAAACGCTCATAGAAAAAATGTACTGGACGTAATACACCTACTCTCTAACGCTACGTAAACGCGAAAGCCTTTTCACGTGCACTCTTCCATACGACATCATTATAATTTCATTGAAAACACGTTGCGCACCGTACTGTGTAAATATCGCCATCAGGATTCCATTTATGGATGCCGGGATCTTTACAAAGTAAGAGAGAGAAGACCGAAAGTAAAGACCGCTCTATTAAATATATTAAATTATATATTAAACGCTATTTCATCTCAAACACATTCTCTTATTTTATTTTATAATATCTAGTAAATCATTCTCTTTTTCTGTTAAAGTTTCTTTTAACAAAAAATAAAGACGTAAGATTCGTATTGCAACGATGTTTTAATTTGTAGCGCAATAATCGACGGATGTATGAGTTTGTCGTGCATCGCGTTATTGCTCACGATATTCTCTTATTTAGCCACAGTAAGAGGCACGTGAAAAGAGGACCGCGCTGACACGTGGATGTAACAATTTCCTACGCTCGCATGCGCGCAACACACTCGCATTTTGCTTCCGCTTTAATCACTAGTATCTATCGTATCGTAATCTATGGCTCATCGTGTTTATCGTGACATAGTAAAATGTATACATTCGGTATCGATCGCACCTCGGTTAACCAACTCTGGCTCTAATCATTTTCTCTTTAAATCGATTTTAACTATGATATAAGAATAGAGAATGGAGGAAAAAAAGTTTGATTACCATCTCTTATATTGAGCCAAAAAACTTGACACAAAAATATTTTAGAGGAAAACAAAATCTCAAAATTATATGTTCTCTTTACATAGACAAGTCTTGAATCATCTTATTTAATTCAGCAACTAAATGTTTCTCTTCATATCGTAAGTTGAGACATGATTTAAATAGAGAAAAAAAGATAAACAGTCACTATTACCAACACTAACAATGATGTAGATCCATCCAGATGATTGCATCAATAATGTGAATTGAGTAATTTCAGTTAGCAATCCGCCATCCCTTTTTATATTACAGATTACAAACTTGATCTTATAGATCGAGAAGTAATAATGGCAGTACTTATAATATTAAAGTATTATCCATCCACTTATAGTAATTCTTCGACGCGACGATTTTTAGTATATATCCAATACAAATATAATAAAACCGCCTTTAATATCTTTCTGTGATGCTATTAATAATCTATTTTACGTATTTTGTATTTCTCAACTTCGTTTTTTATAAAACTTTAATCGCACTGATATCGAGGTAATTACACAAAATGGCATTAAAATCAGAGTTGGTTTGAACCGATTTTGGAACAATCGATCCCATCTCATGTGACATGCCTCGCGGAGACGACATTGAATTCTGGGAAATCGAATGCGGTTCGGGAGGATATTTTTTTCCACCCAACCATAAAGAGAGCAAAATCGCCGATCCCGGCGAGACTGACACGCCTATCACCTAAGAATTCCTATTCTAAATCCGTTATGTATCTCTGTATCTCTTTTTCTTTTTAGTAGAAAATTTACAATTCTTCAAACACTTTGTACGAATAACATCGATGACTTAAGTTTATGCATTTCCGAATTTCCGATTTCACTCCGTTCCCTTGGGCTGCGTAAAGCCCATCGCATCGATTTACATCGCGACGCAGAGCTCGGAGATATTTTTTCTCAAACGCATATACGCATTCGCATTTATCCGGATATTAGTAACTTTCTCGCCTCTTTCGTGTACTCTAATTTCTATAACCTTCTTGTTTTCTCTCTCTTCAACAAGACCAACGGTACTTTTCACACAGCGACTGTCGAAATGAAAAAAAATAACAATGCCAATTTGTGCGAGGTATTTACTGCGCTTTCGCAGAATGCTTGAATCAGGCTCGGAGACATATATTCGTGCATACTTGAGACAACTTATACGTTTAGAAACGACGATATTAAATGCATCAATGTATTGCGCCAAAAAAATCAGTAAAAAGCTAGTAGATCTAATTAATTTTTGGCAGACACATTTTTTTGTGCATGTTCGAAAGTGTTTGTCACCGGGAATCGCTGTCGAAGAGACTCTCAAGCGAACAAGTCGTTTTCATGCAATAAAACATCGAGACTTTCGTCAAAGTGATACGTATCGTGCTGATTCGCGTGTATTTTTTACAATCAAAATGAAATTATTGCGTAGCAATAACAGGCAAGCGTACGTATAAATTCGTATACACGATTCTTAACACTTAGGAGGAATAAATCGTCGAACGTTAATATCGTTTCGAAAATAAAGCTCCGCGCAGCTGTGTGCAATAACCATTCCATTTGAAAATACTCTTTTTTTCGAGTTCCTCTCGATGGACAAACTACATGAAAAATTCATAGATATCCTTTATATCTAATTTTACATCTGTCAGAGCGTATTCAGCCCTCGATTGAAAATTATGCACTCATGATTGAGTTTCATCATAAACAGTATGTGTATGTAATACCAAAACTTTTCTCGAGGACTATATATCCAAAAATTGGATTTTAGGAAAATTCGGATATAACCGCGATGAATCGGATGATCCGAGATCAATAAAATGTAAATACAATGTACTCTCGTACGAAAAGTCACGTTCACAATACGCGCAAATACATACACACACGCGCGCGCGCATACACTCTTTTTCACTCTATATATATCTCGTAATCATACACACTAACATACGATTATATTGTATAATCTATAATTTCGAATTTCATCTGCAAACTTATATATCACGTTACTCTCTAATACCGTTTAAATTTACCGGCATTGCTAGTGTCTTTATTGTGGTTGCTCATCGTCAATAGTATGAAAACATGTTTAAGTAAGTCATTGCAGGTTTCCGAGAGGAAGAAAAGGGGGCAGGTTTCGCCAGTGCTCCCGCGATCTTAAGATTGCATTTTTCGTTTCTAAGTATTATGGTTAAAGCCTGATTGGTCGTAAAGATTAGAATCTTTAATTTCTTCAATTCATTCCTGCAAACGGTACAAAAATACCGTAGCATACTCAACTTACAATCCATTTGACGTTTTCGGTGTTAACGTTAACACTAAGGACACGTAAAGGACAAGGGAGGAAGGAGAGAAGGGGATCGAATTTTCGGCAGCATTTGACAGTGATAGTTTAGTGAGTTTGCGGCACTGTTTTTCGTAAGGATTGGTCGCAAAAATTCTGTCGGTAGAAAAATTTCGCAGTCGAAAAAATGCCACTCGCGACAACGATGCGGGGTGGTATTGCGAGGGAGGTTCTCCCACTAGTCTTTTCTCTCTGCGAGAACGATACAGCCAATGCGCGAAGTTTTTAGTAAGGGCAACGAGATACGCGCTAAATAATTTACTTAGCAGTAAATACCATAAAATTCCATGGCACAATTGATGTGGGCTGGATGAAAGTGACCGTGCGGCGGTAGATGGTTTTGCATATATTGATGGGCTGTATATCAGTCCGTCGGCGGTTCGAGATACGGTATTTCGCTAGTGACATTAAACGATTCGAAATAGTGATTGAGGAACTCGAACGTGGGTCGTTTCTCAGGACTGGCATCCCAGCACTGTAGCATCAATCGATAGATGCTGTCAGGTAGCGGATGGTTTAATGGTTTCGGCATACGGTAGCCCTTGTCCACTTGCTCGATCACTTCGCGGCCGTGCATACCTGAAAGAAAAAATTATCGTCGTACATTAATATATAGAATCCTAAAATATAAATACACTGAATAATAATCGTCGCGCGCGAAGAAAACAACGATACTCACCGGGATAAGGAACTTGTCCGTAAGTGAAAAGCTCCATCAGCAAGATTCCGTACGACCAGACATCGCTCTTGATGCTGAACCTACCGTAGACAATGGCTTCTGGCGCGGTCCACTTGACGGGGAATCTACTACCTTGTTTAGGACAGTACTCGTCGTCCTCGATCACCCTGGCGAGACCAAAGTCGCAAATCTTTGCCTTGTTTTTCTCGCCGATCAGCACGTTTCTCGCCGCGAGATCCCTGTGTATGAGCTGCTTGCTCTCAAGATACTCCATACCGGAGGCCACCTGAGCCGCGATGTATATCAAATCCTCAAACTGCATGTACTTGCCGTCTCCTTTTCGAAGGAAATCCAATAAGCTACCGTTGCACATGTATTCCTGCACGATGTAGATGGGCTCCTCCTTTGAGCAGACCGCGTACAACGCGACCAGGTGCCTATGTCGGAACTGCTTCATTATGGCAGCCTCTTGCAAAAACGCCTCGGTCGACATAGTCCCCGGACGTAATGTCTTCACTGCCACTTCGATCTTGTTTCGCCACTTGCCGTAATAAACCTTGCCAAAATTGCCGTTACCCAGTTCCGAGATCAGCTGTATCTCGTTCCTGTTGATCTCCCATTTGTCTCGTAACTCGGGTCCGAGATCCCACATGTCCGGCTGTGGTTTCGGACAGGGTTTCGACAGTACGTGACAAAGACCCAATGCGTTTTCTAGATGACAGAAATACCCTCAAAGATGAATATCATTCAATATAGAGACTTCTCTCACAGTTAACTTGACTTTAATTCTATTTCCGAAATCATTAATTGAAGAAAGCAAGTACAAGTATTGATTTATATTAACACAAATATACCGAAACGTTTATTAAGACATTATAAATTCGAGAAGCACTTACTGCTGTATGCCATAACGAGAGCCGGTAAGCTGGAGAAGGTTTGATTGGTGGCGATAAAGAAGCCGCCATTGTCGAGCGGCTTAATCTTATAATGTTTCACGTGATGGCCCCTTCCTTCCTCCCAGTCCTTTACCGACAAACTGTAACCCCGGGGATTGTGCTCGCTCGGCCTCACCAAGAACGTACCGCGAGGATTCTCGTCGACCAGCAGCAGCTTGCCCGCCTCCTTGCGCGACACATTTTCGAAAAACCAGCTGCAAAGAGAGCGATACATTGGATACATAATATCTCAATAAGAGATGCGATGCAAAGAAGAGGGAAGGATAAAAAACAACGAATACTCACTCTTCGCTCTCGACCGACCGCTCGACAGCCACAAAGTTCCAAGGAATCAGGCCTTCCTGTAGGGTCGTCAAGTGCAATACTCTCCACCAGTCTGGTTCGGAATCATCGAGGACCTCCATTCGGTCACCTTTCATAAAACTAACGTCGGTGCTTTCCCGCGCCGTGTAATTGTACAGGGCCACCACGATCTTGTTGGTTCTTTGTGAGTGTGCTGTATTGCGAAGAGAAGCCCAACATGTACGTCTCGTCAAATTATTCTCCGAACGAATGGAGAAACACCAAGCAACTCGAATCGGTTAAAAGTATTTTAACTTTGAAGAACTTATATACTAAAGTGATTTAAATAAAAAACCTACTCTCATTACTTTATTCATTCAAAGAGTCGACATATCCAGTAATATACAGACATATGTATATAGTTTTGATTTATATCTACAAATACACACACATTGAATTTATATTTTAATATAAAATTTTTATATAAAAACATTATTTTAAAACATTATATAAAATTTAACTTGATGTAAAAAAACAAAATTATAGTATAATTTTATTGAATAAGTTTAATTATAATATAATTTTGTCACTCTTTGATGTTATAAATATGAAAAAATAAATTTAAAGTCATATTTCGTTTTTTTATTGTTGTCAATAAATATAGTGATCATTCTTATACGTCGAAGAATGATCTGATTAAAATTAACCGGTTCGAGTTATCAGCAGAAACATTTAAAAAAACAGATCAAAACAACACAACGATTGTCAACGCTAAGCGATTTCGCAATAAAATGTAAGATTAGATTATTTGCAACAAACCAAATTCTCTATCTTCGCCCAGACGGCCATTCTAGATAAGAACAAAAAAGAATAACATAAAATACACACATGCAGATTTAACAGGCGGATTCGTTTTACGGGGTTGTTGATGCGATATCTGTAGCTTACAGGGTGTCGGCCTCGGTCGGATGATATCCGCCCGAGCTTGCACGCCTCTCTGATTTGGGTCGGCGGTGTATCGGTCCAAGGAACCTCCATTGCTGTGCTTTGAGCTGAGTCCCGTCTCTGCCTTCTTATAACCTGAACAGAGAGAAGAATCCGTCTCTCGTCAAAGGGGTGACCGATCCGATGAGAAATATATCTTTTGTTTGTATGAATCTTAAGTAACAAACTCTCTCGACTGAGTCGACCTGTTTATGCACCGTCTGATCTAAAATAAACATTTTCCTTGAGAACTTGTCCCGGAAATCACAGTATCAATGTATGAAAATTTAGAATAAAATTAAGAAAATAGAAATTAGCAGTTATTAAATTTAATTGACACCATTTTTTTAGCGTAAAAAAACTACTTACATCGCTAGCCTTTAGCATAATTTTTATCCATGACTTTAAAACATTTTTTTTAGTTCTTAGAAAAATTAAGTTCGATTATTATATAGATAGAGAGGGGGGGGGGGGGGGGATTTTTTTTCCTAATCGTAGTGATTTTAATGCAATTAATTTATTTTCATGCCATTACGTTTGGCTGTTAATTAATATAGTAAAATAACGGAATAATTATTCTTATATATAATATGTGTTATCAATGAGAAGATAAAATGGACTCACCGATTGGTTGAGGCTCTTGCCGTTTACTGCAACACTTCCCCATCCTGGATCTCGTTCCTGATCTCTGCGCGGGTCCTACGCACCTTCTATCCTGGATCCATTTGCAGGACAAACCTCCATCGTCCGGTGAAACTCGGCCCGGATGGCCTGCGACGTGATGTATCGCTACGAACTCTCAGAATCCTCTCGCCAGTCCATCCATCGCCGTATTATCAGACCTGCCACTCCTGCAACATAAGAGACAAGATCTGTCGTGATTTCGTGCGAGGATTATTATCACGACAATAGTCACAGGATGCAATGTCACGATGAAGGTTCATGAATTACAGTCATTTGACAATAGGAAGTGTTACTATGCTTCGATGAAGTCGATGATGTAATTGCGGAGTCATCGCGAGAGGACATCGCAATGACTAATTACAATGTTATTGATAGCATTATTGCACAATTATAATTTATTTCTCGTTATTATTCCCTGATTAGTCTCTAATCGAATCAATTATCAAAATTTTATAAAATAAATGTCTAAAAAGCAATTAAAAAAGCATTAAAAGATCGGAAAAACTACAGCTTCTTTTCTTTAAGTACTAAACATTTTAAAATTTACATAATTTTTTATATATTATATGTACTAAGATTAATCGGCTTTGATTAATTGTGCTTTATAGCTGTAAATAAAAATATAACAAACTCTTAGTTCAAATTGTAAGTAAACCTTAATACTCTTTAACATTCTTTTTTTTTTTATTTCAAGTTAGTTTTACGATAATAGTTGACGTTAAGGTTTTTAAAATTGTGAAAAAATGTGATGCAATGAAATTTACATGGAAGGAGAAAATTATTTCAATTATCAACAGGCAATATGATCGACCTCAACACAGACTGACAATATACATTTTAATTATATTTAAAACCACTTCAAGGGTGGAGACAACGTTTATCAGAACTGTAGAGCGACAAAGTAACAAAAGGAACTCTTGTAAAAAATACCCAAGAGAGTATCTTCGCTAATGATCGATATCCACGGAAGCTCGCGGCCAATTTTACTTAACAGAATATCTACCGCTGCTCAACCAAAAGAAAATATTCATACAAAGAAGAGAAACTAATAAAAAAAAAACGACGAACCATCGATGCCAAGCTATATCACCAAAGTGACCTTCGGATCATCTTCCGTATCATTAAACAGAACGAGGTTTCGTTCGCTTATCCTCACCGGCAACATGCACAGAGTTTTTAATTAAACAGCCAGGCCAAAGAGAAACGAACCATAGAATTTTCGAGGAGAGTGTAGATATGTAGATATATAGGGTGTTCGATAATAGACGTATGTGTGTTGTAACACTCGACGTTATTGTCGGAAAATATAAATATAAAATTTTTCCCTTTACACAAAAATATGTCGAGATGTGAACAGTTTTTAGCAGCGTTTAAAATTATAATTATCAGTTGTAAATATGAATTTTTGCGTGCCTAGAGGATCGAAATTTGATCTCGTTAAAATCATATTTATTTTCTGAAATTAAAAAAGAGAATTTTTTTATTAATTGTATTGTATAGCTGTAAATAAAGATAAATTCTTAGTTCAAATTTTAAGTGAATCTTAATATTCTTTAAGGATGTTTAATAGCAAAAAACTGTCAAAATTTAAAAGAAAGCGTTTCTTACGTTTATACTGTTTGAAAAATCAAATAAATAAATCCGGATTATAAAAAGATTTAAAGTATCACAAAATAATATGGTTTTTAACGTTTTCATTAAAGAAAATAGTTGTAATTAATCTTTTTCCTAAATTATGATAAAAACTTTTGATCGTAAATACCTCCTGAAATCAACTGCAAGAAACAAAGAAAAACGAGTGATTTGCAGAAAGAGAGAGAGAGAAAGAGATAATATTTTTCTACAATTTTTAGTAAATAACTTTTAAACGAATAAGTGGATCTTTTGCACAAATGTGTATTAGAGTTTTCTTAATATATATGAAAATTTTTATTTTGCTGGCAATGTTTTTTTTCTTGTCAAATTTGTCAATAAGTGCTACCATCCGCGATTTTCCATAAGTATCAATACTAACTTTAATCTTAAATAATTTCCAAACCGTTAAGAGAATTGTGCTCAGATTTTGCACAGATACTCAGAAGAAATAGTAGAACAGTCTACGAAATTTTCATGCTTTTGTCAATATTTTGACATATGACACATACATTCTTAACATACTTTTTTTTTATTTGAAATTAATTTTACGATAATACTTAACATTAAAGATTTGAAAATTATGAAAAAACGTGTGCAATAAAATTTTCCTGGAGGGAGAAAATTATTTCGATTATCAACAGGCAATATGATTGGCCCTGCTTGACGAATGCGTCCATCACCGACCATCTCCGCGTTCACGGACATGAGAAACAATTGTCGGGGATCGATTTTGGATGTGGGTCGGTCCTACCCTAGTGCCGAACACTGAGGAAGCGATGGCGTACGACCACCACGTTGTCTCTCGTTCGATTGGCAGAGCTCGACTACGAGAAACCGCTATAGGACAATCCATGTACACCATCGCTAGCCCCTATCCATGTTTATATGTGCAACGGGGTAATACACGAGTAGCGAAACGATCGATATCCCACGGTGTGTGTTCGCATATACTATATGATATACACTCGCCATCCGGCAGAGCTTTTACGTGGCGAACAATGCGCTTCTACCGTGGACAAAGACATATTAACGTTAGCATCAGGACGAGACAGCCTGATCCAAGCCATCGTCAGTTTTCACAGGGAGTTCTTAAGTTTCATAAAAGAGCGGAAAATTGTAACAATCAAGCTTGAATAGCTACAATTATCATAAAGACTTTACTTAGATTCACTACTTATCTTATTGGAAGCAAGTTCAGTCTAATAAATTTTCCGCCCATCTAAAATGTCGTAATATTTAAATTTTTTGTTTGTAATATAAAATAAACATTAGTTAAAAAATCCTATCCTTTATATATGTATATATATTAGAATTATAAATATAACATATTACAAAAAATATAAGCTTGTGATTTGAAATATATTATATTACATTTAGATAAAAATTGCTTTTTATAATAAAATATTTTTAATTATTCTCTCTGAAAAGAAATTCTATAAATTTGTTAATAAATTAAAAAATTATTGCGAATATTCTCAATAAATATATTCTATAACTATTTTATCTGAAATTAAAGAAAGGCTATTTTTATCTAAAATAACATATTTTACAATAAAAAGAGTTGTGTTCTTATCGCATTTTCCCAAATGAGATGCAGTAGAGCTGAATAATATCGCGAACGCAGAATAATCTCCCTATAAATCACTGCCACTAGCATCGTCACTCGTTCTCACTTTTACTTCCGTTTATGATTTCGCGGTACAACAAAGTACTCCATCCTGTCTCGTACGATAAAGTATAACGACTAAAGCGTTTTAAAACGACGTGAGAATTTACCGGTCAACGACGCCGCGTGTAGATACTAACCATAAAAATAGATCGTAAAAACAAGAGAGTTAGTTATTGTCGCCCAATGCAAAGTCTCTTTCTCTCTTTTACTTTATCCTGGAGTAACAACTTTGTTGTTTCC